TCACTAACACAGAACTCGCTCCAATACACACATTTTATTCCCAATATACTCATGTAGCCGCCCGAGTCTGCGGCGCTCCGGCTGCCCCCTGCGCTGTGAGACACGCCGCACTGAGAGACTCGCTGGGGACCGAATTGCACTTTAGCCTGCGCTCTATTATTCTGTACGATACACAAAATATAACAACGAAGCAGGAATTAAAGTATGTGAAATACCTCAGGAAATGTCGGACGCCCGCGCGACGCCGGCGGGAAGATGCGCGTGATGCTGCGCGTGTTGAACTAATAGGCTTAATTACAGGTAAATAAAATTATAAACAGCATTCATCAAACATGTTAAACATGGAATTGTACCCAACGAGTACCAGTATAAGTTAATTTGGCTTTGCTGCAAAATAAGAACTTGCTTCAAACCACGCGGTACCCAACCGCGCCTCCCTCCAGCAGCGTTCAGCGCCGACTAGTGATGTGTCGGTCGCGAAAAAGCCGTCCGGCTCCTGACCGAGAGACATTTTTATAAAGTAATACGGCTCCGCGGCTCAGCGCTACATGCTGCTCTGACTGTGACTGAAGTCAGTGTTAATGGCGTGCGAGCCGCGCGACCAATCACGTAATGAGTCAGACAAGGTTCATACCATCAGGTTAAACGTAGGGAGGGGCGTATTGGAAGTAAATTAATGACAAAAGTCGTTGATAAAAAAAAAAAAAAACGTTGAATTACACTTATCGAATAAAAACGCATTGCATTAATGACGCTTTGAATTTTTGCCCAAAATTCAAAGCGTCATTAATTCAATGCGTTTTTATTCGATAGGTGTAATTCAACGTGTTTTTTTTTCATCAAAGACTTTTGTCATTAATTTACTTCCATAGGGGCGGGGGTGCGCGTGCTGACGGTGTACAGGTCAGAGCAGGAGGAGAGGAGAGGAGGAGAGAAAGAGAGGTAGTGTGGTGCGCGAATAGTAGGTAAGATGAGTGACAACGGAAACGAAGCGACATTTGGATGCATTTTAATAGCTATGATAACTCAAAGGAAGAATGCACAGTTTGAAGATGAAGCTGTCATTTCGAGCAGGATCCACAAGCAACCTTCTCAGACACTTAAGAACTGCGCATCCAACAGTTCAGATGGAAGAAAAAAGACAGGCTAGCGTGCCTGCTACTGCCAGAAGCCGGATCAGCCCGGCTAAGTTGAGGCAATTAGCCTTTCTGCCCCAAAGGAAATGTTAAAATGTAACACTGTTAGAAAGTTGATGGTTGTTATAATGGACAGATACAACTAAAACTGTTGGATGCTGCTGTTATTCTTTTATTAGTTATTTATGTTATTTGCCTTTTTTGTTAGATCAACCACAAAAACAACTTTTCCACTTATAAAATGTTCAATACAGGTGTAGTAGTGTTTGATGTTTTTACATTTAGTCTTTATACCAAACATAATGTAAAATTATGGTATTAAGGAAATTATAAGGTTTAGTACACATATCAGTCATGGGTCAAAACAGTGCTGAATCTGGCTGGACTGAAGTGATAAAACGAAGAGTCGTTTAGGAGCCGGAAGAGCCGACTCTTCTTGGTGAGCTGAGGCAAATGATCCGGCTCATTAAAAAGGGCCGAAACTCCCATCGTTCAGTGTCCCGGCCAGTTTGGGGAGATTACGGATGCTTTCTTACGAAAATACTAAGAAATCTCAAAAAAGATTGCATGTATTTCTACAGATTTTCCCAGACTATTTTTTATATAAGGAAGTAGTCATCTTTATACACACACACACACACACACACACACACACACAGTAGTATTAATGATATTAAGAATAAAAAACATACAAACCGACTTACATTTCTGCATCCCTGGTCTGGTTCTGCACTCTCCACTGTGGTCCACACTATAGCAGAAGCAGAATGACATAGTACTGCTGTATCCATTTATTTAATTGTTGCATTTTTTCCAGATACACAAGTCTATAGCAGGGACAGACACACATTCTGTACTCACTTCAGTTTCTCCAGTTTACAGCTGAGATCATCCAGTAAAGCAGAGAACAGCTTCACTCCAGAGTCACCTGGGTGATTGTAGCTCAGGTCCAGCTCTTTCAGGTGTGAGGGATTTGACCTCAGAGCAGAAGCCAGGGAAGAACAGCCTTCTTCTGTGACTCTACAGCCTGACAGCCTGCAGAGAGACAGACAATATCTTTCCAATAAATAAAAAACCTCACCGCTATGAGTATTACTTTTAAGTAAATGTGACGACTCCAATTAAGATTTCAGTAATTACAGATAACAGTGTGGAATACCCAGTAATATTGACCTCAGTATCTCCAGTGTACAGTGTGAATCCCCCAGTCCAGCAGAGAGCAGCTTCACCCCTGAATCCTGCAGGTCATTGTCACTCAGGTCCAGCTCTTTCAGGTGTGAGGGATTTGACCTCAGAGCAGAAGCCAGGGAAGAACAGCCTTCTTCTGTGACTCTACAGCCTGACAGCCTGCAGAGAGACAGACAATATCTTTCCAATAAATAAAAAACCTCACCGCTATGAGTATTACTTTTAAGTAAATGTGAGACTGCAATACAGATTTCAGTAATTAAAGTTTATGCTGTAGAATAATCAGTAATA